GATTTCCAAACTTCAACACTGGAATCTTGTTAGGCTGTTGCGTTGAAGGAGAAGAGAGAATGCTAATATACAAGCAGGGCAGCCCTGAGAGTCCAAAATTTTTTAGATGCACTAGGTGAATTTTCAAATGTGAGGCTTGTTATACAAAAGGGCACAAAATTGTTATAAGATTGCAGAATTTTCATTAAAATGAAATGATTGTGTTTTATTCATGAGACTACCTAGAAAATTATAGCAACAATGGTAAAAAATAAAAATTAAATAAAAAAAGATAAAAATAAATAAAAATTATACCATCGTAATGAGCAAAAAAACTTTAATTTTTAATGTACTTGACAACTTTTTAAATTTAAAAAATGTGCCTTTGTGCAGTATACATAAGACACCGAATTAATAATTCTAAATTATACCGACAAATAATTGTGTTTTTATGCAATGTGCATAAGACAACTAAATAATAAATAAAAATCTATCAGCACCAACATATAATTGTGTGTGCCAGCGTGCAGTGTACATATTCAATCTTATTAGAAAAAAATTAAATCAAATAGAGTAAGCAAGAAGAAGAAGAAGAAGAAAAAAGAAAAATTAGATGAAATTTGTGCACTGTACTTGTGAAGTCCATGAGCTTAGAATTTGATTTCTAAGTACTAACAGGCTATTATTTTTGGGTTATATTTGTCCAGGTACAACGGGCTTTTATTTTTGGGCCATGTTCAAATTTTAAGGCCCCCCAAATTTGGAGGGCCAACGTTGGCCCTGTATGTACATGCCGAACAAAAGCGTGATTATTTTATTTTGGGTGAATTACACTCAAACCCTAAAATTAGGTCATTTTTTACCAATATGAAGATTTTAGTTTTAACTTTCACTTACACCCCAATTTGCTTTTTGGACTCTGACATATATGAATGGACTTTTTTATCCTTAATTTTTTAATACAATTTAATACCAAAAAATTTATAATTCTAAAAGACAAAACTACCCCACTGCATCTAAAACACACAAAATGACATCATACACCCAACACCCCTTTGCCGCCAACCCCCTCACCTTGTTGCCACTCTTTGCAAATTGTCTTCTTTTGCCAAGAATTGGTAGAGAGATCACCACCACCCATCACCCAACACCTACACTGGCCCCACCCAACACCTCCATCACCATTACCCAACACCTCCACCGTCCCACCCAACACCTCTATCACTACCAAAGACTTTAGGCAAACAGAGGCGAAAACCAGAGTGCGCTAGTAGCAAACTCATGCTTGAAAGCAGACCCAATTTATATAAACCATGTATTCTACATATACATAAGTGGACATTTAAATCAATTAATCAAGTTTCTTAGATTTTATGGATGTCGATAAACGTAAGGAAATTCCGGGTTGGGATAGAACATTAAAATGAAGAAGTGTTGAGCTGGTCTGGACTGTGGTGAGGTCACAAATTTGGGTTAAAAGGTTGAGTCAATATAGATTGCTCACTATACTGAATTTGTTGTTTATTTATTTTTTTATTGTTGACTGTTAACGGAGGAGAGGTGTTGAAGTCTCTGTAACTAGGCTTTGGATCGGAACTTCTCATTCTCTCACTAATTCCTCTCACCTCACTGTTTCTCTCACTAGATCGTCCCTCCACCCCACTCAATTCATCCACCACCTCACTCGTCCTTCCACCCCACTCAATTCATCCACCACCTCGCTCTTTCTCTCTCTAAAAATGATTTTTTTTACTGTATATATGTTTGACTGTTTTATATATTTATATAAATATATATATATATATATATATGTATATATGTGTGTAATTTTGAGAAGTTGGTTTTTGTGTGGTGGTGGTGGTGCGAATGGCAATTGGGGATGATGATGGTATGAGGAAGAGGAAGAGGAAGGTGTATGTGGGGGTAGTTTGGTCACAAAACTAGTCAACAGAAGGTCAAAGGGTAGCATGATCATTTAACACCTCAAAAGTTCTATGGCCGTACCAAATTTTTTACATTTGGGGTGAAAGTGAAATGTTAAACAACTAATTCAAATATAAGTGAAATCTAAAACCAAAATGTTAATCTAGTTGTAAAATGACCTAACTTCAAAGGGTCTGAATGTAATTTACCCTTTTTATTTTTGGTGTAGTTCTCTTCACCTTTTTTCTTATTAGACCAATTTCATAGCGCCATTTATGCATTTATGCAGCAGAGTCCTCTGCCCTATTTTTAAAATGATAACTGATGTAAAGCTTATATGGATGGAAATGTCATGCAGATCAAAATAGAAGACTAGAACTTCCATGGCAAAGGCGATTTGAAATGGCTATGGGCATATCAAGGGGACTACTCTACCTTCACCAGACTCAAGATTAAGAATCATTCATAGAGATCCCAAGGCCAGCAATATTTTACTAGATGATGAACTAAGTCTCAAGATTTCAGAATTTGGGAGAAGTTTTGGGAGAGATGAAATTGAAGCCAAAAAAAAGTGAGTAATTGGAACATGGTTTGGCTCTATTCTATCTCCATTGAATTCTCGGCGAATCCTGGCACGCCTACACCTTCCACCTGAAACTAACAGAATTTTTGTGGTCAAACAACATGGATTGTTTTATTTTTGAAATCAATTTTCCTGAAAAGTTAGCTTTGATTGCTGCTATTCACCCATTGCAAAGAATTAGACAATGAGAAAGTGGTTGGTTGACATATTATTCTCACATCAAATTGACTATTCAACTGGATGATTCTCTTATTTGTTTGAGAGTTAATATTAAGAATTAAATTAATTTTGTGTCTAGAAGATAAACCTACCTTCCTGAAAATATGATGGAATTAACCCTTCAAGCGAGTTATCGTGGAATGGTAGATGTGTGCCTCAGCATTCCATGTTCCAAGTCTCTGCCGGTGTAATTATTGGTGTAATTTCTGATGAGACTGTGAATGTGTGTTATTTACTATTATAATATCTCTTCTATAATAATAAATAGTGAAATCTCTTCTCTTCATGGACATAGGTCAGGTGGAACCCAACTATGTAAAATATTGTTTTTGCTTGTGTATTTGTATTTTGCTTGTTGTGTGGTGTTGGAATCTTCATTTTGTTTGTCTTGTTTACCGTTATTAGGAATGAATGAGGGATTAAGACCAATTACATAACAATAGAGACCAATTAGTTTTTCTATAATTATCAGGTTGCCTGTTGACTGATAAGGTTCCTTGTTTATTATATACTACTTCTGTGGATATGTTATGAAGCATTGTGTATGACAATTTTGGCGCATAAATTCCTCCCAAGTGTTTTCAATTACTTAAATTCCATGTCACCCAATTCTATGGATATCCACCTACTATCATTAAGGTATTCAGACTTGATACCAAGTTCAAGGAGTCCAATCATCAGAAGGGTCGTGGCTGGCTGTTGCTGGCACACGGGGGCAAGTTGGAGATCGCGATACTACGTGATGTTTCTTGGCAGGGGTTTTCGATTTGCGACTGAGGGATCCGTTCATGGCTTTTTCTGGCTATGCTTATGCTGCCTTGGGTAGTGGATCGGTTAAGGTGATCCAGACTTTCCAAGTTTGTGCCCATGGTTTTGATCTTCTTGATGCCGGTTTGCTAAAAATTTGGCCGACAGTTATGATTCCGATTCCGGCGAGTACTACTGTGTTGGGTCAACAGTGGCTGTCAAAGTCCAGTCTTGGGCTAGTTGTTTGTGGCGATGAAGTCCTGCCACGTCGTCCTCGAGTTTTGCACTACACTGTTTGTGTCAAGGGGGTGCAACAAGTCAACAGATGGTTCAGTGTCTTTGGCGTTGCCATCCAGCATCGATGCTACCATAGGTAAATGTCAGGTGTCTTTTGTGTGTATGCTCCTCTCTGTAAATTTGTGGGTATTGTTTGCTTTGGTTGTGTTTAGTATTCATCGTTCTTGTAGATGCCGTAGGGTTTCTTGTCTTTACCAATGAAAAAAATATATATATCATCAGAAGGGTCCTCTTTGGGATGAAATCTCTAGGTATACATACATGCATATATATATATATATATATATATATATGCCCCAAGCTCATGAAGTGTATATGTGTTAGGTGGTGAAGAACTGAGTTGTTTGATCAGTTACTAGAAAATTGAAGCAATACCCATTACTAGTTGGCTTAATTTGTGGTAGGAGAATATGGGTTCTCGGTGGGCTTTCTTGCTCGTTTTCTGGAAATTACTTGAGCCCAATTTATGTTTTTCACTAATTTTGTGCTAGAAATTATAACATTGAAGTAGGGTGGCAAATTGGTCCATGAGTCATGACCTACGTATTTTAAAATACGTGTCAAAATAAGTTATTTATATTCAACATATTTTTATAAAGGATTAAACTGATTAAATATGAATATATATTTCACCCATTATATTTGACCTAAATTCATATATTTTTTCTTTCTAAAATTCTTTCATGTAATCTAAAATTCTCTCTCTTTCTCTCTCTCTTTAAAATTATCTATCTAAAATTCTCTCTCTCATCCTCTTTCTCTCTTTAAAATTCTCTTTGTCGGAGCAGTGATTCCATGGCTTAAATTTAATTCTAGAAACAAAGTTGACCTGAATTCTTAATTCTAAAACAAATACCATTTTCTTACAAGACTAAATTGAAACCTGCCGTCAATTTCTCAACCAATTCCCATGGCTTAAATTTAATTCTAGAAACAAAGTTGAACTAATTCTTAATTCTAAAACAAATACTTCCTCCCTCACAATTATCAATGTGAACAATTTTTATGAGACGGAGAGAGTAAATAGTTCCTCCAATTGTATATTTAATTTAATGTGGAATGGCAAAGGAACCTCTCCAATAAAAATAAAAATAAAAATAAAAATAAAAATAAAAATGAGAATATGTCAACCCTCTTCTCACAAGAATGTGATTTCAAAAATAAAATATTCCATATATATACATTACAATCTTTCTTCTTCTTTTTCCCCTTCTTGTACACCAATATGTAATAGTCACAAATTCTATCTGGCAAAAAAAAAAAAAAAAAAAAAATTCTATCTGGCTTCCATTGTTGTTACTGTCAATTCATTTTCAGTATGACAACTCTCACCTCTTGATGTCTCTGCATCAATGGAACTTCTTTCTACAAAGAAACCAGGTTGTTTGGGTTGAGGCAATGCTACACCTTCATTACCCAACATGAAAACAACTGATGACATTGTTGGTCTGTCTTTGGGCAATTTCTGAACACATAGTAGTCCCACTTGAATACATCTTAGTACTTGAGATTCAATGTATGAATTTTCCAAACATGGATCCACTAGTTCCATGGCTTTTTGTTCATTCCACAGCAACCAAGCCTATAACAATCACAATCCTCAAACTTGGTAATTCACATAAAAAGTTAGAGAGAAAAATAAAATAAAATAAGAATATAATATAATATATTTCACCATAGATATTTACATGTCCCAAAAGCGAATGATAGTGATCAGGATGATGAAATCTCCTATTCCTCTTGCCACTCACTATCTCCAGTAAAAGCACACCTAGACTAAATACATCAGATTTTACTGAAAATTTCCCATCAATAGCATACTCCGGCGACATGTAACCACTGCATAAAATTGTCAAAATTAAGCATTTGAAAATCTTGAAAAAGTACTATATGATAATTGTTTGCAAAACTTACTATGTTCCAATTACTCGCTTTGTTTTGGCTTCAATTTCATCTCTCCCAAAACTTCTTGCTATCCCAAAGTCTGAAATTTTGGGGCTTAGCTCATCATCTAGTAAAATGTTGCTGGCTTTGAGATCTCTATGAATGATTCTTAATCTTGAGTCCTGGTGAAGATAGAGAAGTCCCCTTGATATGCCAATGCAAATTTCAAATCGCTTTTCCCATGCAAGCTCTAGTCTTCTATTCTTATCTGCACAACATTTTCATCCATAAAAGTTCTAAATCAGTTCACTTTTATGATAGAACAGAGGAATCTGCTGCATAGATGCATAAACTACACTGAAATTGGTCTAATAAAATAAATGGTCAAGAGAAATAGACCAAAAATGAAATAATCCAAGCTTTTGTTCGTCATGTACTCATATACTAGCATCCTCTCTTCTCCTTCAATGCAACTGCCCAATAGCCTAACCAGATTCCGGTGTTGAAGTCTGGAAATCAAAATAACTTCATTTTTGAATTCTTGTACACCTTGTCCAGAATTATTCAAAAGCCTCTTGACTGCTATTTCTTGTCCAGTTGTTAATATACCCTACAATTTTTTGTGAAAATAAGTGTTAACATGATGAGATCCACCTTTTTTATTACATATTGAACTAAAGATTTACTTATTAAACCTTATAAACAGGACCAAAACCACCCTCTCCGATCATATTTGTGGAAGAGAAGTTCTTAGTGGCATTTGCAATAGTGGCCAGATCAAAAAATGGTAACTCAATGTCTTCATTCTTAGTTTTCATACCTGCAAAATCAAAATTGTTATAGATGCAACTATACAACTGCTGTCATTCAAATAACCGTCTAGTACACTTAGAAGGAATGAAACCTTATAAAATGTTCAAAATGTCCCATCCAAGGCATCACTTGTCTAATATTCATGTGACAATAACTGCCTTAAAATGTATAGATAATCATACCAGAGAGAGGAGGTGGTATACCTATATTCTTTCTCCTCGTCTTAATTATACACCAAGTTAACAAGGTGAGGACAACCATCCCAGAAACTGTTGATACCACTACAATCAGCACCAGTGTCTTCTCCTTCTGATTATGCTCTAAATTTATGACAAAGTTAGTTCATCATTAGTCGTAAACCCTCATTTGTTGGTCATGCCTTCCGAAAAGCATAAATAAAGGAAATTCTAGAAATGAATCCTAAACATTTCATTTCAAGACTGTCACTGTAATACCCCCTAATTTCGGAACACGGGTTGATCAAGTCCGCACACAAAATCAGGGGATATCAAATAAACTTAAAGTATTTAAACAAGCACGGATTACAAAATGAAATAAAGAATAAAATAAAACGCTGAAGAAATCCAATTAATAGTAAATCCTTTAATAACTTCCAAATGGTTACAACTCGGGAATCCCGTAACTCAAAGACCCCTTAACCAAAAGTTACTATTTAGAATTTCAACCAAATAAGTACTAATATCAACTGAAACAAAACTAATATCCTACTTTTAAGTAAATAGAAGGAATGGATAAGTCCTCCAGCTGCGGATCCTCAACCTTGAGACTTGACCTTCTACAACCTGAAAAATAAATCGCGGGTAAACCCTACGAACAAGTTCCCTCTACCAAACCTCTGAAAGCCAATAAACAAATCATCTATATCAAAACAAACCCTAATAAAGTTTAAACTTTAATATACCATGCTATAAATATATATAAATACTTTTATACAATACAATAATCCTATCTATTAATAGGTGCAATTAAATTGTTAAATCCATTTACCAACGATTAATTAATAATCAGACCTAGACCAAAACCATCATTTATAAGTTTCCTATAAAATAAACTCCACTCACCTTAATTCCAACCTAACCAGTAATTTAACATTTTAGCTATAAATTACATTTAAATGAATAATCCACTAAAATCCAAAATCTAGTAATACTTTTGATTGTTTAAATTACATGTTCAGAAATTTAAACTTTCACAAATCATTCATGTCTCCACCCACAATATTTTATTAATATATACCAAGTAATACACTAATATGTAACCACTAGATTATTCTAATTTAAGAATATCTAACTTAAATCCAACTCATACCTACCGTACACATAGATGAATTTAATCATCTAACATACATAGCAATTTAATTTTGCTATAGCAATTCAACCATGCTATTATGAATATATTTATCTATATATTGGCAACTCAACCATGCCTCCTCAAGTATATATATTTATACTTTTAATTAGCAATTCATCCATGCTTTCCACGTATGTATTTTATCTATACGAATAATAAGGCAATATATTTAAGCCTTTGGCAACTCATCCATGCCTACAATTCAACCATGTACCAACCTTAAACTTAACTAATAAGCTAAATCACACATACACATCTCATGCATATAATAAGCATGTCAATAATTAATAACCCATATATTCAGATACACCAAATAAGACTTATAATAATAATTATCTTAAATGATATCCATATACACATATATTATGTAATATATACATATATAATATCTTCCATACTATATATACATATACAGATGTATATATCTATAACTACTTCCTTCCGTCCTAATCGCAAGTTAAATAAATCATATACTCATGTACGATTATAGATAAATAACTAAATAAATAAATAAATTTATATATATATATATATATATATATTCATTTCCTTCTATAATAATCATTAATTTATTCTGTTACACACGCTAAAGGCTACCACATATCTTAGCAACACTCTACAGCCTTTAGAAAAACTAGAACACCTCGAGACTTATTCTAGAACCTCTCCGGACTTTACCGGACCTTTTCGAGACACCAAATACCTTACCACGCGCCTCTACACTCTCCGAAGCACCTTGCACGCGCTTCCACACATCTTTCCACGCACGCACGCGCTCACACGCGCCCTCACACGCGCTAGAGAGTGAGCGCACGCTCACACGCGCTGCCACGCGCTGCCACGCACGCTGGCTATTCCTCTTGCTGACGCGGCGCGCTCCTATTGGTTAGTTGTACCGCGTCCCTGCTGGTGCGCTGCAGCGAATCAATCCACCATCATCCACCTCATCCAACGGTCTAGATCAGCGTAGCCATCAACATATTATACACCCTAATGCACTAAATCAATCTATTATGTATTTCAAAATTCAATGCCCCAGATTCACATGCACATACTTTTAGCATAGGCCGCACCACACTGGAATATCGCCCTTCTAAACTACCACCAGTGCGTAAACATATACAGTATATATATATATAATTAATTTGCACATATATAATTATATATATATAATTCTAAATATCCGAATTTTTCTAAAAAAATATCAAATCAGTCCAGAAAATTCTAGGAAAAATCCACAAGCTTAATTTATTAATTTTGGCCATAACTAAATATATGTAATTATATTTTGGTCCATTTAATTTAATTAATCACGCTACATAAAGTTAAAACAAACTATAAGAAAATTTCAGAAATAATATTTAATTAACCTTCCCTCACATACAATATTTAAACTATCCGAACAATTCATACATATATTCACATGTTTAAATCTATAAAAAAAAAATTTCAAAAAAATAAACATGCTCATCTAATTCGATTAATAATTTAATTCAATACAATACAATTATTATTTCAATAATCAAGGTGATAAGTTTATGAGTTCTAAGAGGAGAAGTAGAGAAGAACTCGCCTTTTCTTTTCCAGATCCGGTCTCCTCTTACGTTCTTTGATCCGGCCTCCTCCTCGTTAGCCCTTCTTCTTCTCTCTCTAATTCTCGTATTTTTCTAACGTGGAAAAACTCCTAACCCTAAAGTCTTATATGTCTATTTATACACATCCAAAAACCTAAATCCTTTTCCCATTAGGATTATCATATAAAATAAATAATATTTATCTTTTAAATAATATATATACATACATATATTTTAATATAAATATATATATATTACCTTCCATATATAACCATTAGTTAAATAAATTATATATACCTATATATATCAATATATAATTATATTGACATATATGCCCCTACACATGATTTAATAATGAATTAATATACACATGTAATTATATAGGTATAATTATACAAAGATAATTGTTAAATATCCTCCCAACCACGGGCCTTTACCAATTAACCCAACAAGGCTTCCTTCAAGCCCAATACCACATCCGTTGGTCCAACTTCCTTTAATCCCAATCCAAATAACTTAAATACCTAAAATAATGAAATTAAATTTAATAGCTACCAATAATTAACAATAAAGTTACACCAACATAAAATCACGCAAATCAAATAAACACTTCACTAACTAGCATTCCACAAATCAAACACCGTATAAATTTAACAAATAAAATTACAAAATATATAATTTAATTAAAACAATACAATTTACCTACGCACTTAATTAAATAAAACAAATCACAACTATCAAGCACCTAATTAAATAAAACAAATCACTTAAAAATAATAATAATAATATAATATAAATTAATTTAATTAATAAATCCTTTTTACAATATCGGGGTATTACTGTCACTGTACAATGAAAAGAGATTATTGAAATCTATGTCCTAATATATATAATGAAATGTGACCTATGCGTTGATATTTGAGCAAACAAACTGGTTAAGTATTGGTAAAAGAATTTAAGGGGCTGACATCTAAAAGAGTAATAGCAGAATGTGAATATTATTATATAGTATAGCAACATGTATGCTTACTGAGTTCCGAAGCTGGCATTCGAATGTAGATATCTTGGTCACCATTTCCGTCACTGAACTCTCGAATATCAACTAAATTGTCAAACCACATCAAACAGCCACTGCCTCCTCCCCTGATATCTGAATTAGCATAAGCTGTACAAGAACAATTTTTCAAGCACTCTGCCTTACACTCCTTAAGGTTCAGACTCTCCTTCAGCCAAAACTCTAACAGGTCTGGCAATTTCACACTTTTGAGTTTCACAAATCCATCCCCGTTGTGGCAATCCAGTAATGTCCTCCTCACACATCCGCTGGACCAATCAAGCTGATCCCATTCTTCCTGTGATTTTGGAATGAACCCCTCCAAGCACTCACATATTGGCCTATTGTTAATTCTGCAAATACCGTTAGCACCACAGCGTCCATAACCATCACAAGGATCATTCTGTACTATATACATAATAGTCCATTCAGAGCTCCCTTCATTCAGGATGAAGCGTTGAAGAATACCAGTTTGATTCACCGTAAGTCTTGTAAAATACGAATCATTGCTAGACTCGTCAATATAATACACCTCATCTGCATTGAATATAAAACTGTGTTTAAAAACCGTCCTTGACCCCCAACCAGTACCACTAAATCGAACTCCATTCCACGACCCAGAGCGGAACGTCTTCTCTGATGATCCCTTCCGAAGAACAACCTGAGGAATCCCAGTAATTTCAACTCCATAAGTAAAGGCTCCAGGAGATGGGTCAGCGGCATCTCTCCACGATGTCAAGTATCTATTTAGGCCGGTCTTTAAGTTCCATCCGAGCTTCATGCCAGGTAAAAGTGTGTCTGATGGGAAATCAAAGCTTTGCCATATGTAGCTACTTTCTGTATCAGCATCAGTACTCTTCTTTTTGAGGACAAGGTTTCCAGAATTTAGTAGCTGTGCAACGGATGAACTTTGCACAGTTGTCGAAGATTTCCATCGTTGCTGATAGTTAAATTTCCATATGAATCTGTAATTGGGTTTTCCCTGTTTGCTACCCACACCACAGTTTGTGGAGAAATTTTGTAGTACCATATTCCCAAGAACAGGAGGTTCTTGGAACCACTGGGAGAAAAGAAGCCCAGTTCGAAGCTTTGGCCTGAGGATACTAAACTCTCACCAATGGTGATTGATTGATACGGAGTTAAAGTATCAGCTGCAGTGGAGAATTCTAAGACGGAGAATGAGATTAGTGAGTAAAAGATGATGAAAGGAAAGATATCCATTGCCAATCTCACCCAAGAAATGGTGACCATGTCATCAGAACATTTTCGGAGATATCCACATTAGAAATATCCACTTTTTTTTTTTCGGAAAGTTAGAAATATCCACATTTGCGGGCACTCAAGTCCATGTGGGCCAGGTAAAGGAGTAAAAGAAATTAAGAAAAGTCCATGTGGGCCTGACTATGTTTGATCATCTCACACGGTCAGCATTTACTAGATTAACTACCGTAAGTGGTCATGGATGTATGTGGAAAATGCGTATGAAATGACAACTGTACTCCTGAATTTGATAGGATTTAAAAATAAATTAAAAAATACCTTGTAAATTAAATCACTGTTGTAACTTGTAAGGCTTGAGTAGATAATAGAGGTCCACGGCCAGAACCAGTCCCACTACCAACACCAACACCGCAGACCAAAAACCCTAGAAGCCCAGTGCAGTTTTCTTTAGGCTTTCTTATGTGATCAAAGATACAAATTCACAATCTCTTCGCCGATTGTCCATCACCAATCATCAAAAGAAATGTTGGTGCAGCTGATCGCTGGACATTGAAAGACCCACTTGCCCCAATCTCAAGGGTATACTCCATGAAGAAAACTCACAAACAAAAACAAGCAATACTATAAATTCTGTTCAAAAAGGGGATTGTGATACTTTGTGAGCTAACAAAATTGATGGGTATACGGCGGCAGCGGTGGGGAGTAGAGGTGGTGTTTGTGGGCGGAGACGGTGGAGATGGCTAGAGAAAGAGAAATCAAGATTAATTTACAATTTTAGAGAAAACGACAAGGTAATATAGCCTTGAAGGGAAAGGGCGAGGGCAAAACCGTCAAAGAGATTTTGGGTATCATTGTAATTTGAGTAAATTACAATCTCCTTTTCTTTTTTTTCAGCAAGAAACAAGTGTCCACCTCCTTTGAAATGCGAGTAAGTGCACACTTACTTCCCCAAAAGTTTCATCGAGTTAAAATGAGAAACCCTAATTATAACACATTAGCTACCACCTTATTATTTTGAGATAAGAACCCTAATTACCTTATTAAATTATTTTTTATAGCAAAACGGGCGTCAGAACAAACAAAAATCAAAATAGATTCATATTATGATATCATGATTCAAGTTACAAATTAATTTCAATAGTTTCAAGAAAGAAAATAAATAAGAAATTCTTTTGGTGGTAACGTGGGGATAAGATATTCAATGTACCCGATGAATGGTGCACTGAGTCATTACGATTGTTTAAATTTGTGGATACCTAGGAAGTACAAACACTTTTACGAAGAGTCGTACATGTGTCGGACACTCCTCGAATGCGTGTCCGACCCTTCATATACGTGTCCATAAGTAAAAATAAATTTTATTATTTTGGATACATCTCGATATTTTGTTGACATTTTTCGGACACTTCGCCGACACTTTTTGAACATTTTCAACACAAATCTACCCGCTAATCTTGAAAATAATATGACTACTATCATGACAAAATAGTGAAATACTCAAATATATATATATATATATTGAAAATCATTACAATAATGACATAATTTCATTTTCTAATTCATTTCAGAGTAATTCTTAGTTAAGAAATTATAAATGAATTAAAATTTTATAGTACTATTACTAAATACATGTATATATAAAAAAAAAAATTATATTTATATGTAGTCGTATCCATACTATATGCGTGTCTTACTTTTTTAGAATATGACATACGTTTCAACATATCCGTGTCATATCGTATCTGTATTTTGTATCCATGCTACATAGATAGACACTAATGATTATAATGTGCCCGGTGCACTCAGCGGTCAAAAGGCTAAACAATGAGACTACCATGATTTTTTATGCAGTTCCGAGTAGAAAGGGCCCAACTACGAATATGTACTGCCTTCGACAATAAAATAAGCTGTTTTTCAACTAAAAAATTTCATTATTTAAGGTCCCTTTTATGGGTAGAAAGAGCTACTCCGCATTTTATTTGTGAGGTTCTTAGTTGATTCATGATATTCATCGTTAATTACTTATGATTGTGATTATGATTATGATTATTATTATTAGGAATAATTTCACTGACACCCCAAGTAGTTTGGCCAAATATCAATCTAAAATATCTTTCGAAAATAACTATCACTTAAGTCCATTTTCACTTTTCCGTTATTGTCTACGTTAAAAACATAGGAAAAGACATGTTTGACCCTAATTTTTTAATCACATTTATTCTAAAATATTAGATAATATAAATGACTTCTTTACCCCTACACACACTATTTCTCTCTCCTCTATCTCTATCCAAATTATTTGCTCCCGAATTTCTAACTCCACCCAGTTGCTCCTCGATCTCTTCTCTACAGATACACAAAACCTTCTAGAGTCCAAATTTCGTACCATCAAGCCCAAGTTCCAGAGCTATCTACATACATCACCGAGCAAATCCATATACCTTCCATCCAACTGCGTACCGCCGATCAAGTGGATCTGCAAATATGGGTTCATCATCGATGCCTCTACAATTTAGGTTTGCAAATAGTGGTTCTCTTCCACTATTTTGGCACTATCGTCGGTGCCTCTGTAATTTGGGTCCGCAAATATGGGTTCACTTCCACCATCGATGCCTACGCTTTCTCAATCTCTCTGTCTCTCTCTCCACCTGTTTATTTAAGAGTTTTCGACATTAGTTGGGCTTACCGGATGTAACTGAATGCACCAAATGGGTTACAGGAGATGGCGGCATGAGAGTTGGTGTCTTCGTTGATGGTGTTGGCGCCAGAGACTTGTCTGGCCTGAGAGATTAGAGAGAGAAAAAGAACAGAGAGAAAGAGAGCGGAGAGGGAGAGGACCCATAAACAGAAAAAAATAAATAAAAAATTAACAAAAATAAATAAACATATAAATTCAACCAATTAATTCCTAAATCAACCCATTTGGAATTTTTGAATAAACATATAAATTCAACCAATTAATTCCTAAGTCAACTAATTAATTAGCAGTTAGCACTCCTCTAAAAATAAATGGAGTAATAAATTTGAAAATTTTGTCAACCAATTAATTCCTAAATCATACAAATCCACCAATCTGAAAAAACATAAACATGCAATAAGCAATTCTCACGAACCTAAACATATATAATTCAAATTATAAAAATATATATATGAATGGGTGATTTTTCTTATTTTATTTTTCTATTTTAGTTTTTTAAATTTTTCTTATTTTTCTCTTTCTCTTTTTAAATTTCATTAACTTCCTTAAAAAAATAAAATTTCATTAATTTCCTTAAAAAAATATATGAATGGGTGATTTTTCTTATTTTATTATTCTATTTTAGTTTTTAAAATTTTTCTTATTTTTCTCTTTCTCTTTTTAAATTTCAATAATTTCCATAAAATAAAATGAAATTTTCTTACTTAAAATTTCATTAATTTCCTTAAAAAAATATAGAACTGGACACTTGTGTGGCATGTAATAGCCCTCAATACCACACTGTATGATGTTGATCACCTATTTTATTTATTCTTGTATATGGAAAAGAAAGGGTAAACATGTCATTTGAATAGTCAAACTAAAGTCAAATGAGGGTAAACATGTAATTTTAATTATTAAAGAAATAATTTAGTAGGTCAAACTAAAGTCAAATGGTAAGAATGTCTTTTTACATGTAAAAAGTGGTCTGACACAACTGTCAACTAACTTTTGGGGTGTGAGTGAAAAACGGAGCAAACGTTTGTAATGTGAGTGATAGTTATTTTCGAAAAATGTTTTAGACTTATATTTGGCCAAACTACTGGGGGTGTTAGTGAAATTATCCCTTATTATTATTATTTAGTGTCAGTTGGAACATGAAAGGAGATCTTCAAATCCCGAAAGATAATGTATTATAAGATAATAATAATAAAAACAACTATGGATTAGATATATCAATAGTCTCAGACTCTTACACGTGGTATAGTTTCCATTTTCTTATAATAAAGTGAAACCTGCCGTCAATTTCTCAACAAATTCCCACTGCCTAAAGTTGATTCCCATGAATTCTTAATTCTAAAACAAATTAAAAATTCAAGGAAAGTTTTCAAATAAGAATAATAAGAGATGAGAATATGCCAACTCCACCTACTTATCATTGTCCTATTAAAATGCTTGAATAATGATCAGATTAAAGGTGTTAAAAAAAAAAAAAAAAAAAAAGAAAAAAAAAAAAAAAGTGTTGAGAACAAGATTAAAGAAGTTGAGAATAAAATTAAAAGTGTTGAAAAAAAAAAAAAAAAAAAAAGGTTTTGATAACAAGACTGAAGGTGTCGAGAAAAAAGCTTAAAAAGTAAGATTGAAGGTGTCGAGAAAAAAAATTAAAAAGTGTCATCTTTAAAGGTAAATAAGATAAAAAGGTGTTGAGAAAAAAGATAAAAAAATAGTGTTGAAAGGGTTGAGAAAAAAAATTAAAAAGTGTTGAGAACAAGATTTAAGGTGTTGAGAAAAAAATTATTATTAAAGGTGTTGATAAAATTATTAAAAAGTATTGAGAACAAGATTAAAAGTATTAAGAAAAAAGTTAAAAAGTTTTGAGAACAAGATTTAAGGTGTACGTTGAGAAAAAGATTATTATTATTTCATGTTGTAATCAAGATAATATTGGGTTTGTTAATCAAAAAGAAGAAGGAAATCACTATTAGAACCCTTTGTGTACCTGAAGAGTTGTACATTTTTCAATAATTGTCTTGTATTATGAAGCTTTCCATCATATATAATCTTCAACCAGTTTTCCTATAAAAAGTGTTGAAAATAAGATTAAATGTATTGAGGTAAAGATTAAAAGTGTTGAGATAAAGATTAAAATGTATTGAAGTAATGATTAAAATGTGTTGAGCTGCAGATTAAAGGTGTTGAAAATAAGATTACATGGTGCTAAGAACAAGATTAAAGGTGTTGAGAAAAAAGATTAAAAAATGTTGAAAGGTATCGAGGTAAAAAATAAAAGGTATTGAGGTGAAGATTAAAAGTGTTAAGATAAAGATTAAAAGATATTGAGGTAATGATTAAAATGTGTTATTAGAGATTAAATGTGTTCAAAATAAGACTAAATGGTGTTCAGAATAAGATTAAAAAGTGTTAAAACAAGATTAAAGGTGTTGATAACAAGATTAAGAGTTATTGAGAATAAGATTAAATGTATTGATAGCAACATTAAATGTGTTGAGAAAAAGAATAAAAATTGTTGAAGACAAGATTTAAGGTGTTGAGAAAAATATTAAAAAGTGTTGAGAACAAGATTAAAAGTGTTGAGAATAAGATTAAAATGTGTTGATAAAAAGATTAAAAAATGTTGAGAACAAAATTAAATAAGTTAAGAAAAAGATTATAGGTGTTGAAAAAAAAAAAAAAAAAAAGTGTTGAGAACAAGATTTAAGAGGGTGAGAATATGATTAAAGGTATTGAAAAAAAATAAATAAAAATAAATAAAAATAAAAATATAAAAAAAAAGATTTTGATAACAAGATTGAAGGTGCTAGGAAAAAAGATTAAAAGGTGTTGAGAACAAAAGATAAAAAAGTGTTATCTTTAAAGGTAAATAAGATTAAAAGGTGTTGAAAAAAAAAAAAAAAAAGTGTTGAAGGGGTTGAGAAAAAAATTAAAAGTGTTGATAGCAAAATTAAATGATATTGAGAATAAGATTAAATGGTGTTGAGAACTAGATTAAATGTACTGATGTAAAGATTAAAAGTGTTGAGATTAAGATTAAAAGGTATTGAGGTAATGATTAA